TAATTGGAAAAGAGAGAATTATTCATTACACATGGGAGAATTTCCAGTTCTCCACTTTGGCAAACTCATGCGGTGGACTCCAAAAATGGATAATCGGTGTAGCCAACAACAGGATCAGAGGTATAGAAAGTCTCTCTGTGGTACTTATTGAGTGGAGCATTGAGTTCAAATCTCCTTGGCAAATCTGGATTGGCCAAGAAGAAACGCCCATATGCCACAAGATCCGCACGATTTTCAGCCACTGCTTCGTTTCCTTCTTCCCGGTTGTATCCCCCAGCAGCAATGAAGGTTCCTTTGAAAGCCTTTCTCATGGGAAGAAGACTGTGAGGACATACACATTCATCTCCAACTGCTGTTCTCATTCTTGGCTCAACCATATGGCAGTAGAGAATCCCATATTTATTCAAGGCCTCAGCCATGTAGAGGCCTAATGCTTTTGGATTAGAGTCTCCTGATTCCATGTAATCCGCAAAGGGAGACAGTCTTATCCCCACTTTGTCTGCTCCTATCTCATTAACAACAGCTTCAACTATTTCTAAAGCAAATCTGCAGCGGTTCTCTAAAGATCCACCATATTGGTCTGTTCGATCATTCACCTCATCCTTTATAAACTGGTCGATTAGGTAGCCATGAGCCCCATGAATCTCAACTCCATCAAAACCTTCATGCCAGAAAAGTAACTACTTAGGTTCAAGTAACCCCAAAAAATTAATCCTTGGATGTTTTCAAGTTTAAAGTAAGCTTCACATCTGGGACTTTCAATTTTCAAGCATTTAGACAGGAAAATTTAATAGATCCATTCAATGAACGCGGTTATGCATACTGAACTTTGAAGAAGAGAACTATTGAGATAGAAAGAAAAGCAGAATACAAATCAGCATTCAAGCATCATAAGAAAAGCAGCACAAAGTAACTTTTGTTTGGCTATATTTAGGGAAGTACTCACCGGCTTCCATGGCATTCCTTGCAGCAAGTCTAAAATCATTAATAATTCCAGGAATTTCATCCGTCCTTAGACGCCGTGGAGGTGAGAATTCAGCAATTTCAAATCCATTAGATCGGTGTTGAGGTGTTAATGGCTTATCTGTGGAAGAGATTGGCGCTTGCCCTTTTGGTTGGAACCCTGTATGTAATAGCAAGGCAGAGAGTCAGAGAACTGATAAGTATCAAACCAAATGAAATAACCCTTGTTTCAAAGTCACAGAACTAATCAATTAAAGGTTCCTTTTCCCTTTTTGGTGAGTTTTCCATTTTAGCTGTTTCCATTAATGGTATAACCTACACACCAATATTGACTTTCCAATTATGGTTCGTACATACATTACCATGTCAAAACTTAGTGAAAGCAGTTATCAGATGAGACATTAATTCTACAATAGAAAGAGACAACTCACTTGAATTTGAGACCCTCCCCACATGCCAAATCTGACAGAAGAAGATCCCCCCTTTAGCATGAACAGCATCAACAATAGGTTTCCATGCCTCAACCTGCTCTTTTGTCCATATACCAGGTGTGTCTTGATACCTTCATACATACATACATACAAGACACCAACATTTTTGTCAAAATTACTACAGTAATGGTAAAAACTTGAGCTTTCATGTTGAAAATCTCAAATTCAAACCCATCATCTCACACACCCAAAAAGGAAAAAAAAAAACTACAGTAGATTGAACAAATGTATTAATTATCTTTGCAATTACTACTCAGGAAACATTAATAATTACCCTTGAGCAGTGTTGGAAACTCCAGTAGCTTCAGTTATAAGAAGTCCCCCTTTGGTGGTTCTCTGGGAATAGTACAAGATAGCATGCGGCTGAGGAACATTCCCGTAAGATCTCTGTCTAGTCAACGGCGCCATCACAATTCTAGAAAAACAGAGGCAAAGCAAAAGCACCCAAATTACTAACCCAATCAAGGAAAGCCAGTGCATTTTGGAATATTTAACGGAAGTAGTACCTGTGAGAAAGAGTGAAGTTTCCCATCTTGTAGGGAGTGAGAAGAGGAATGGCGTTCTGTTCTTGTTGCTGTTGAGTTTCGACGACACTGTTTGCCATATTTGTTGGTTGCAGGAAAAGCTGTGGGATTTCGATTTACCAACTGTGAGTGAGAATGGGAGATGAGATCAATAGGCTATAAAATATAAATACAAGAGCAGGAGATGTTGAGCTTCTTCCTGTGACGATGGCCCTGACGTTTTAGTTGAACACGTTGCTTTTGACCATAAGGCGATAGTGGAGGCGGGATGCTCTGACCCCTCACTTTCTGCTTTTCCATTTTTTTATTACAGTGATAAGGAATGACATAGCTCCTTTAGCTACTTAGCGGCAGCATTTTGATTATTGGTGTCCGACAAGCCGCCGCCGATTGGCCCACTGCATTATTTCCCCTTGGCCCATTTTGATTATTGGTGTCCGACAATTTCTGCTTTATTTTGGTTATACCATTGCATAAAGAAGGGGAAGATAATTATTTTTTATTTTATTTTATTTATATATTATATGATTTGAATTAAAAATATTTTATTTTATTCGTATGTTATGTGATTTGAATTAAGAGTATTTTATTTCATACATATATCATGTAATTTAAATTTAAATTTTTTTATTTCTAATAAAAATAAATAATAATTGATTTATTTAGGTAATTGAAACGCCTACTGCATTATTAGTGTAATTAGTTGATCATAGTGATAAAGACTTTGTTTGCAATTGCATCTATTCGTTTACCAAATACGTATAAAAATAGGACATATAAGATTTCTTTTGTTAGTTTTATATTGTAATATATTATAGTGGTAGGTTATTATTATTATTATTATTATTTTATTATTATTATTATTATTTAAAAAATATATTAAAAAATTAATTAAAATTTATATAATAAATAATAATAATAATAATAACAACTATTTCAATTTGCAGAACGTCACCTAAAGAAAAATCAACAGGAAAGTCGTCCTGACGTGACATCTCCCTAGCAAGTGGGAGCCGGCCGCCGGCGGCTATTCAATTGCGGGAGACGGAGCGGTGGCTCATACACGAGCAAAATTTTGCACATACGGAGAAATATCATTTTAAACTCAAAAAATAT